GGTTCTGTGTTGAAGCCAAGCAGATCTCTGGTCTCGTTTCACTTAGATCCTCCGGCTTGCTGTGTGTTGATCACATCGCCATATTTTGTGTCAACACAACGTATGCAACACCAGATCCAATTTTGCAATATCCAGATAAAACATATGCAACGTATATTTGAAACGCATGAAACATACGGTTGCAATATGTGCTTATCTACTTGCTGCCGCCCAATGAAGGCTCGTAGACGTGGCGTGTGGGAGCGCAGCGCGAGGCGTGGATGACGCGTGGCGCGAGGCAAGGGTGGGGTACGTGGCGCAAGGCGGGTCTGGAATGAGGTGTGAGGCGCAGGGGCGCGCGGCGCGAGGCGAGTCTATCCTGGTGGAATGCCGCAGGGAACGAATAGGAAAGAGAAACATCCAGATTTTTTTTAATAAAATGGTGAAGTTGTGAGGGAAGTTGGGCCGATCAGACCTGATCCGCAAGTCCAGCGAAGATGTGCGTCCGGCGGACGGACGCTCGGTAAGAGCGTTACCGAAACGAAAGCCTCTAGTCATTGTTGTTGACATCATCAAATGTAATCACAAGGAATCTCTGATTTCTCAAGGGCCTATCCAACAAACACACGACAAAGACGTGCACCATGAAGAAGCCCCATCTAGAGACTACCAAATCACAGTGGTGGTTCTTCACGATGATGCCTCTGAATAAGTTAAAAAAACTAAACTATGTCATGTTTTTATAGGTTAGCGCCCTTACTCTTTAACTGCACAATTAATGCAATAGTCTCAAAAGGTTTAAATTCAACACTAGCATAGAAAACCAGGCTAAAAGGCAGTAGTATGTGTATACGTGTATGCATGTGGCCATGGGATGCATGTGGGTGTTTACATACACACCATTTGTTTTGTTTTTTTACAAAAAAAAAATACAGCAACAAAGAAGACCAAGTTGAGAAAGGTTTGCTAATTTGAAACCCGAAGCTTGAGGGGTGTGGTCATCAGGCGAATTGAATACACTACAAAATACTGGTACGAATGGTTAAGACGTGAGGGGAGCGAGGTTGCCTCTGGAATTGAAACTGCTCGTTTGGTTAAATCACACACACAGGACAGGGGGTGCGACCGGTGGAGAGGAAAGGAGCCGATCTGTTGAGAAAAGTTTTTGCTTTCCTAGCTAGCATTGCTGGTTTTCTGTTGTTGCATATGGCCACTTGGCTTGTTTTCCTGTTCTGATCAACTAGATATGCTCAGGACAGATCACATGTCGGCCACTTAATAGAATAGTCTTACTCTATTTTGTTTGGTATAAGCCCTCCTTTTTTATTTTATTTTATTTCAAAAATGGACGGCAGAGCTTCTTCCGCGCATACTACTGCCTCAGCAAGGAGGCATGTCTACGTACTGGCTTCCGGTCACAGAATCATGTTGTTTAGGATAATTTTTTTTATCAAACCTTAAAAACTACCAACTTCAATAAGTATTACACTATTTTATTAAAAGCATGTAAGTTATACGTGTATAACTATATTAAAACTACTTGTAAGTCTCCAACTTTCGAATAATTTGTGTGTTCTAGAATAATTATAGTGATTAATAAAGATACATATATATCAAAGGCCGTGCAAATGCAAAATGTGAGTACTTTTTACGGGTAGTATCAAAGAGACTTTTGAGTGGAAAATAAAGGAATCGTAATGCACAATGGCTTATAATGTTCGCTTTTATAAGTCGACTTTTCAGCCAATGACGAATAGTATTTTCTCTCAAACAAATCAGTCAACGATATTTTCAGCCATGACTTATCAATACCAAGCAACAGACTATTGCATGCATAACAATCGAGGAAAACTCATGCGTCCACGGAAGACTTTCCTGCTAACTAATGGTTGCATGCCTTTATATTAGGCGGCAGGGGTTGAAGATTATGAGCTAGTATTATATTAGGGGTGTTTTAATTTGACCGGCCGCCTGTTGCGCAGTGCAGTGTGGTTGCTTGTGTCGTTTGGAAGTGAAAGTCTTTGGAACAAAAAAGCAACTTCAACTCTTAAAAAAGAGTCCATCCATAGCCCGGTTGAATTGTTGCACAGGATTGTTTCGTTTATAAAGAAAATGACGAACATACACTTGCTGCTGCGTGCCGGCGCCTGAACAAGTCCGGCCGGCTAGCTAGATACCTTTGAATGTTGAACACGAAGCCAAGGCGTGTGTTTGGCTTGCTGATTCTGTCAGGAATCCCCGTCAAGATTCTAGAAGATGGGAAAAAACTAGTACTGCCTCCTCTAAAAAAGATTGCACCTGGTCAGGTCAAACTCAAATTATTTTAGATTTAACTATGTTATATACAACAAAATATTATCGACATGGATGACACTAAATATATATTATAAAAACATATTTCTCAAATTATGTATCTAATAATACTTATTTAGTATGGTAATATTCGTATCATTTTATATAAATTTGATTAAATATTAAATCATTTGATTTAGTAATATTTTAGAATTGTATTCTTTTGGGTACAGAGAGATTGAGAGAATCTCAGTCTGCTTCGGTTGTAGAAAAATACAATCTGCAGCAGCTCCGCTTTTTTCTTCTCTTTTATTAAACTACTATGGTAACATGTATATTATTAGGCTGCAGCGCCAGATAATCCTCTACTCTCTCTGGCCTTTTATCTCTCGTTCTCCTCCCGAGAAGTTAAACGCGTACTCATTTTTGACCAAATATATAAGAAAATATTAATATTTATGGTACATAATTAGTATTATTAAAGGTTATTGAATATGCTTTCATAATAATTTTATTTGGAGCTACAAATGTTACAAATATTTTCTATAAACTTAGCCAAACTTGAGAATTTTGACCAGCACAGATACGTTTACGTTTCGTTCTTAGGCCACCCCTAATAATGCACTACCATGTCGTGTTACCTGGCCTCCACATCAGCCTCTGGCATGTCAAATGGATCAGGAGCCTTGCACAGGGTCGAAATGACCTGCAGAAGCACCACAGCCTCGTCTAACACTTAGGCAGAAGCTAATGGGTGTTAGAAATTAGTATTTGAAATAAAGAACTTTTGTTTGTTTTTGATAATTATTGTTCAATCATAGCCTAACTAGGCTCAGAGATTAAACTCGTAATTTACAATCAAACTATGTAATTAGTTATTTTTTATCTACTTTAAACTCTATATATGTGACAAAAGATTTAATGTGATGGAGAGGATTATCGGACTTGGAATCTAAACAAGGCCTTATGAGATTATAAGACTGAAGCATGGACTAAAATAAAGAACCTGTTTGTGTCTGAGAGAGAGAGTTGGAGAGATTAACGTAGCTGCTTATTTTCTTTTTGGCACTCTAAAAGCTATGATAGACAATAATATTTAGGGTTTGTTGGATTATCGGTTTACAGTTTAATCCATCCAGAATTATAAGCTGAACATGGACTTTAAAATTTTCTTTTTTTCTAATAAGTTCTTCTCATATATTAGTGTCTATTACTTTATGTAAGACCATGATTAGTTTATATTTAGACCTTCTGCTTAGCATCTAAAACATGGACTAAAGTTTTAGTTTAATCCATCCAGACGCCCCTTAGCTGATGGTTGATAGGTGGTAGCCCTGAATCTGTTCTCTACATATATGAAACAATATTTTTTTGCCAACATGTCTATACGCTTGCGTTGGTGCTGCTCTTAGCGGTAGCCGTTGAATGTTCTGCAATGGGGACAGACACAGACAATGCATAATTCATGATGTACTGCACTGTACTCTACGTATAGAGAGAGGTATTGGGAATGGAATCCCGGCAGCAGGAGGATGATGTGAGCAGACTTTTGCCATGTACTGCACTAAACGCTGGCAGCTAGCTAGCTTTGCGTAAGCGAATGCGTATTAGTTGCTGACCTCATCCATGCAACGTCATCTCCCATTGGTCAGCATGCATGTATGCATGTGGGTTGTTACTCCTATGTGGCATCATATCGCCGCTTCGGCTTACTGCTAACCACAAACCAATTAGCGTGCTGACAGTGAACCACGTGTCATCGCCGCATTGGCTTATATCGTTTCTGGTGCTATAACCATAATCCATAATGTTGGTATATAGCTGCAACAGTAATATAAGCTTTCAGTAACGAAGTCATTGTCATCTGTCCACTGCCTGCAACGAGCTCGTCCTTGTCTCTTCTGCCACTAGTTGCACTAGTTGCATGCAGGATCGGTATTCTGATCGATGCATTGCATCAACCGATCGATGGATCGCATCAACCGATAGATGGATCCTTCCATAACTCCAATTGATGGCTGCCAGCCTAATTCTAAATCTCAGGTCCGTTTAGATGCTTAGAATTGAATTTATTTTAATAATCATAATTTATACATATATTAATTAAGTTAATATGGTTGTATATGAATTATATTTGTATATTATTGTTACCTATACAAGAGAGATACTTATGTGTTGCAAAGTAGAAATGTAGAATCTATAGAATCAATTTCCATCCCCCATCTTATAAATTTAAGATAAGCTTATATGTAAACTTTGAAAAGTGGTGGAATGTCAAATTTCAACCCAAATAGGCTAATTTATTAAATAGATTGTAATTTCTCTAAACGAAAGGATCCAAATGGCTCGTAATGTCTGGCAGATACGCATGCAGCCATTGAATTACCAGAGACAGTGTCAGTTACTAGTACTTAGACCGTTTCCAACAAGTGACCTATATGGACACCCAAACCTAAAATGGACAGCAAGAGACCCAAAATCGACCTCCAACAGAGTACCTATACGGGTGACCCATTTTGGGTTGTCTGAGAGACACAACTCAAATATGAGCATCATCTCTCCTGGAAACCCATTTTCAGAAATGATTCTCTTTTGGATCCTGTTGTTGGAGAAGATGTCAAATGTGTATTGAACCATTTACCTGTAGCGCTACCCAAACGTCGAATGGATCTTGTATTTTATGTGTTGTCGTTAGAGATAGTCTTAGCAAAGCCCTATTTATAGCCCCCATGGCGAATGGAGATGCCCAAGCCTCAGCCCTCAGCTCAGCTCGCACCGTTAATCAACAGCTAGCTAGCAATGGCGGTGCAGGTCATCGTACAAGGCAGCAGCAGCAGCTCGCCTCAGCAATGGCACCTCACTGTCGTCATGACGGTTCTCGTCCCTCTGCTCTTGCTCCTCCTTGCAAGAAAAAGAAGAGCAGGAAAGAGCTGGAGCAGCAAGAAAGGGCGGCGCGTCCTCCTTCACCTGCCGCCGGGCCCGCCGAGGCTGCCGATCCTGGGCAACCTGCACCAGCTGGGCGCGCTGCCGCACCAGAGCCTGCGCGAGCTGGCGCGCCGCCACGGGCCCATCATGCTTTTTGCGCCTGGGCAGCGTGCCCACGCTGGTGGTGTCGTCGGCCGAGGTGGCGCGGGGAGGTGATGAAGGCGCGCGACGCCGACTGCTGCAGCCGCCCCGACACGCCGGGGCCCGGCGCCTGTCGTACGACCACAAGGACGTCGCCTTCAGTCCCTACGGAGACTACTGGCGCGAGATGCGCAAGCTCTTCGTCGTCGAGTTCCTCAGCGCGCGCCGCGTTCGCGCCGCCGACTATGCCAGGGAGGCCGAGGTAGATGTGGTGATCGACTGCACTGCATGCATTGCCGTCGTGATCATCGCGTGATCAGACATCTAGTACATAGAAAAGAAAACGTTCCTAACTAATGCTATAATGGATATATAGGTGGACAAGCTGATCGGCAGGTTGAGCAGCGCCGGTGGCAAGGCGGTGCAGCTGGAGGACCACATCTTCGGGCTCATGGACGGCGTCATCGGCACGGTGGCGTTCGGGAACATCTACGGCACGGAGCAGTTCGCGCACAAGAAGCACTTCCACGACGTGCTGGACGAGGCCATGAGCGCCAAGGCCGGCTTCTCCACCGAGGACTACTACCCGAACGCCGCCGGCCGCCTCGTGGACCGCCTCACCGGCGCCGCCGCGCGACGCGAGAGGGTGTTCAGGGACCTCGACGCCTTCTTTGATACCATCATCGACCAGCACCTGGTGGACCCGTCGTCCCGCGCCACGACGCCCGGCGGCCACGGCCCCGACCTCATCGACGTCTTCGTCGACCTCATGGAGGAGCGCCGCCAGCGACAGGCCGGCTCCCACCACTTCACTAGAGACCACATCAAAGGGCTGCTCTCGGTATGCGTCGTGTCCGTTCACACTCACACTACTCAGGAGATCGATCGTAGCATCCATAGATGTATCTATGTATATCACACTGTAATATTAATTGTAGAACGTGTTCACCGCTAGCGTGGACACGAGCTCGGTGACCATGGTGTGGGCGATGGCGGAGCTGATCCGGAGGCCGGCGATGCTGAGGAAGGCGCAGGAGGAGGTCCGGACCGTGGTGGACGGCGGCGGCAGGGAGAGGGTGCACCCCGACGACGTGTCCAAGCTCAGGTACCTGAAGGCGGTGGTGAAGGAGACGCTGCGGCTGCACCGGCGGTGCCGCTGCTGCTGCCGAGGGAGACGCTGCGGCACGTGAGCATCTGCGGGTACGACGTGCCGGCAAGGACGAGGGTGCTGGTGAACGCGTGGGCCATCGGCAGGGACCCCCGCAACTGGGGGACAGGCCTGAGGAGTTCGACCCGGACAGGTTCGACGGGGACGACGGCGTCGTGGACTTCAACGGCACGCACTTCGAGCTCGTCCCCTTCGGCGCCGGCCGCCGGATGTGCCCTGGCATGGCCATGGGCGTGGCCACCATGGAGTTCACGCTCGCAAACCTGCTCTACTGCTTCGACTGGGAGCTCCTGGAGGGGTGCGGGTGGAGGACGTGAGCATGGAAGAGACCGGAGGGCTCACTGTCCACAAGAAAACGCCTCTCCTGCTTGTCCCGACAAGATACAAGTGTGCGTCACACACTGTCTGTAGCAGTCAGTGCTTAGCTACTGCATTATGACCATTTATAGCAAGCCTTACATTATTACAGCAGAAAACATTAGCTCTTACGTTTACGAGATATTATATACTAATAAGTTTACAAGGAGCGCATGTAGCGTTCATCAATTAAGCTAGGGTTATAGTTATTGTAATACTTAGATGTAGATGGCAATGGGTAATTGTTTGATATGAAATAATAGTGGTCATACCTTATAGCTTGGTTCGATTTAAATTAAAATGATTTTCTAATGCAAGCAAAATGTTCTAACATGTCTTCATAGAGCAACTTCAGCAGGCCCCTAATTGAGCCCTTGAGGAAGGGAAGAAGAAAACCTCACTCCAAAGCAGGGACTCTACTCCGACCCTAAAAGTAGGAGGCATTTAAATCTCCCCTCAAGCCCGTGTTCCCGGGGGTTTGGACTCTAGAGGGAGCACCTACTTTTCTGTTTTGATGGTTTTTGTTCACGCCGCTACCTTTAGAGCCTATGCCCACTCAACCTTTCGCGCCAGACGGCACGGTTCCTCTTCCCATCCGGTGGCTTGCTCCAGCCAGATCTCGCCATCGCTTGGTAGCCGCTCTGCCCAGCCTTGTCTTCGACACGGCAGCATCCAAAGCGGAGATTGCTCTCGACAATTTTTCCCTCGGCGAGACTCCTCCGTCCTCGGCGAGGCATCTCCCTGCAAATCACTCCCCCCACAGATCATTCCCCGGCGGCCCTCGTGATTCCCTCCCCATGACTCCTACCCCTCCCGCGACGGCTCCCCTCCTTTGGTGAGCCCCTCCCTCGCAGCACCGCCTCAGCGACTCTCCTCTTTGCTGCCAAACATGACCAAGTTCTCAATTGGGAAGAAGATGAGAAGGAGAACGACGGGTGGGTCGTCCTATGTGTCATTCCCTCTAACAATGAATTTGTGGGCTCTGTTTCGAGGGCTACTACTAGAGTGTAGCCTACAAAATAGAGACCTAAAAAGTAGGAGAAGACCTCAAATAAAATGTAGGAAAAGCCCTCGAATAAAAAGTAGGAGTTATATTTTGAGGGCTATTGCTGGAGTTATTTTATAGCAATGGTATGTTACTGTGCGGCCCATATCAATACATTTCTTGGAGAGCTAACTCCACTCATACTAGCGATCAATATTCGAACAGCAAAAAAATCCTTTTTTGGAAAAAGCATATGGCCGCACCGCCGAGGGCATGTGCCCATTCTCTTGCATGCGCCCACCCCTCCCTCATCTCCTTCTCTAGATGTGACGTCACCTTATAAAAAAAGGAAAATATTTATTTTAAATTGTTATGACTTCTGAACGGTGCATCTAATTTCAATCCTGTCTCTGCACTAGTGTGTTCTACGCGACGAGATGAATAAAACTAGATCTCACTTGCATATATTTCAAAGATTTTTTTTTCTAGTAGCAATTTATGTGTACTAACTTATAACATATAACTTATGCAAAAAACTTAGAAACACAAGAGTTATGAAATACAACTTATTTATGAAAAGTTATTAAATATAAAGGAACGAATTAACTTATGACTTATACCAAAACTTACCAACACAAAGTCGTTTACACACAAAGGAACAAATTAACTTATTACTTATACCAAAACTTAGAAAAACAAAAATTATGAAACACAACTTATATACAAAAGTTATCAAACACAACTTATGTACATAAGTTATTCATACAATATGTGTACATAAGTTATTCTATACAACTTGCCAATTAACTTATAACTTATAATAAAACATGAAAACACAAAAATTATTAAACACAACTTATGTACAAAAGTTATCAAACACAACATATATACATAAGTTATTCTATGCAACTTGTGTACATAAGTTATTCTATACAACTTGCTAACACTGCAAAAAAAATAAAAAAAATAAATGAAAGAAGGATAAAAATATTAAAAAATGAAAACATACTAAAAATCACATAAAGAAAAACTAAATAAAATTGAACAGAAAAAACAAAGAAAGAAGCGCTTGAGTGGGCACATGTAGGAGGAGTGGACAGGAGTGGGCGCATGCAGCAGGAGTGGGCGCATGCAGATAGAATAAAGAAAAAATGAGAAAGAAGAACGGCAGGAGCGGGTCGGACGCGTGCAGCGCGGTGGAGAGTGTTGGCTGCTTTCAAAATGATTGAACGCTCATTGAATCGGAATTGGGAGCTAACTCACCAATATGCTGGTGGATTTCTATGGGTTCCAACCTATATAAGCCTAACAATAGCATATTCTATAAGCAACAACCAAAGGAACCGTTAAGCTCACACTTTTGAATATTTATCAACATATATACCCGACGGTGTCATAATAATTATCGCAACAGCCAAAGGGCTCCATATTGACCGGTGTGCATCACACCTCCAAATAAAAGTGTCCGAACTCTACAACAACGTCCCTGCCCCAGGAGTTTTTTTTAAACGTCCCTGCTCCAGGAGTTTTTTTAAAAAAAAAAAAGGAACCCTGCCCTAGGAGTAATAAGTTGATGTTTGGGGGCGGTCGGGAACGATCAAAGCGTCTTTGGAAGGAAGCCCACCGATTTCCACAGCCCAAATGCTCAGAATTAATAGGAACACAGTAATTATGACGTGCTTGACGGCCTGCGTGTGAGACGCTCGCTTGGCGTGCGGACCGGATGGGCTACCCTGCCAAAGTGGGCCTGATAACCATAGTGGATATAATTGCCAACCTAATAAGGACAACGAAGGTTTCGTTCTTGGAGAAATGGCATTTGGTTTATATGCCTCATTCTTTTGAGGCACTAAACTAGCAAGTTTGGTATGCAAGGAGGAAAACTATTCATGAAAATATCTATCAAAGTCTGCTCTCCACGCACCAGTTTGTTTCTAATTTTGTGGCAAACCTCGAGCTCATGAAGCCTCAAGCGAGGGCGTGGCCTGAAGAACACGGAAGCCCGGTTCGGTGGATCCCCTACCGATCAGTTTCATGAAGATCAACGTCGACACTGCTCTGACCAATAATTCGGGAGTCGTCGCAGCAGCTGCGCTTGCAAGAGATGCTGCGGGGAAGTTTGGAACCTGACATGGTGGAAGCAATTGCATGCAAAGAAGACCTAGCGTTTGCTAGTGATCTGGTCCTTCGTGATTTTAGACTATCGTGTGATAATACAGGAGTCATCAGGAGTATCCGGGAAGGGAGCATGGGCTCTTATGGATATATAGTTAAGGAAATTAGAGCTAGATTACGCGAGTTCAATTTTGTTGAATTTGTTCATGAAGGGAGGCAATCAAATTTTGATGCACATGTCTTAGCTAGAAGTAGTGTCTATGATGAACTTGGTAGACATGTTTGGTTTATATCTCTGCCGAATGGCGGTTGTACTTCTTACGAAGCTCAATAAAGATTTTGCTTCCCCTAAAAAAAACTAAACCAGCAAGTGACCGCATAGTTGCAGGAAAAATTATATCTTTTTTACCGATATTTGGTACAGAACTTGAGAAGCTTGGGATGGCGGGTTTATTTCTTCTAATACTAATTGGCTACAATTTTATAAACATTTGATTTGCCTTTTACACAGCTGGTTGCGTAAATTGTAGAGAAATCGAGCAATTTGGCCCCCAGCCTCCTTCGCTTTGTGTCACGCTCCGCCACTGCTTGGTTCTCACGCTCCAAGCTATCATAATCCATCTTTGCAGGGGGTAGGGTGGACTTTGTGGAAGAATTTGTACAGGCCTTGGCTCTCCAGGCTCCAAAGCGTTGTTGCTAGCTCCGTCTAGTGCTCTTCTCTTTATTATAGATCCAGTCAGTACGATCCGATCCTTTTCTGCTGGGTACTACGAAGTGCAGTGTACAGACGCAACGCAACGGTCAAAGCGGCCTGCCTTATCTTGGAAGGAATATGATCAGACAACTCCACCTCAGGCCTCAGCTCAGTACCTGATCGATGACCCTTATCTCCTACAGGCCGGCCAACAAGACCATGCTGCTATGTTCTTCTCCACATGCATATTCGATATGCCTGCCCAGCTGCCCTGCCCACGCACGAGCAAATATTGCCCTGCCTCTGCCTGCTTGCCAGTTGTGCATGCACGAGTCAATCCAGTGTGAACAACTGCATGCAAATCCCTTCCTGGATGCTCTCTACAAAGGAAAGGAAAGGAAAGGAAAGAGAAGGCGGCCAAGACAGATCTCTCGCCCAGCCAGTAGCCACCCCAATGATCTGCTGCTTTTTCCTTGTCAAAGGCCAATATTCCTTCCTCTCCTGATGCCCTTGGCAAAGTCGTCGCTCCAGCCCTGCCGCCCAGGGGAGCCGTGATCAATGGCTCCTCAGTATAAATACATGCCTAGGCATGCAATGGAGAGCACCAGCAGTGCACAAGAAGCACGACGAGCGGCAGGCAGAAGAGGCCTCGCATGGAAGTAAGAGGCCATCTTTGATAGCCAGGGATGATTTGCCTGTAGCAGCAGCATGCAACCTCTGACTCTGAGCGCTCCTGATCTGACTCTGCATGCTGCCATGGCATGCAATTAGGGGGCGGTGCTTCTACAGTTCTACGGGCAAACCATCCCTGGCTGCTGAGTGCCTCTTACGCTGTCCCATGTCAGGCTTGCTCTTCTCTAGGGTCTCGTTTAGTTGCGCTGATTCGGCGCCAACAAACACACTGTAGCTACAATGTGTTTTGTTTTTATTTGATAATAATTGTTCAATCGTTGACTAATTAGGCTCAAAACGTTAAGTCTCACAAAGTACAACAAAACTGTGCAATTAGTTTTGATTTCGTTAATATTTCGTACTCCATGCATGTACCGTAAGTTTGATGTGACGAGGAATCTTCTTTTTGCATAGTGCCAAAGTTTAGAATTGGGGGAACTAAACACCCCCTAGCTTTATTTAGGGGCCAACGAAGACCCAAATTATATACCGGT